GTACATTTATTTTTAGTTGAATAAGCACAATTTAATTACATTACTTTATAAAAGATACAAATAAAATAATATTTTTTTTTTAGTGTTTTGTGAATAGTATCACACCAAATATTGTGTGACACTATTCACAAAACACTAAAAAAAAAAATTTGGTGTTGATTATGGCGTTCCATTGGAGCATACCCCACGCCAAATATGGTGTTTTGCCGTCCGCTTGGAGTTGCCCTAAGTAGACTTCATTGTCTAGTTCCAATGTTGGTTCTATTATTTTTTGGTCTTTTTGCCAACGTTCTTTCACACATTAATGTCCAAAATTGTCATTTGAATTTTATATTCAATGAGGTCTTTTAATTTAAATCCGCAATACTGAACATTTTTTATATTCATCAGGTTTTGTATAGAATCAGGTCAAACCTAGTGAGCTAAACCCTGGGGATTTCTCAAGACCTCTTTCTTCCATTTCCATTCTCAACATATAAGCTATTTGCCATCTCTCGGCGTGTGCATACAAGTTCGATATCGACACAAGATGATTTTCGCTTGCACTGTCTATGATGTTTTATGCAGTCTCGATTATCTTCATCACTTGTTCAGCCATTTCGGTATCCATATGAACCTTGCAGGCACCAAGTAACCCTCCCAAAACAGTATCGTTAGGTTTCACAGGCATTTCTCTTACCAATCTGTAAGCTTATTTCAGTTTCCTGGATCGTCCCAAGAGATGAATCAAGCATTTGAAATGCTTCACATTCGGTTTCACATCTTTTGTGTTCTTCTCCAAGAATATCTTCAGACCTTCCACTAGAAAGCCTCCATGAACACCGCCAGAAAAGTGATCTCATCTGGCTTTGTATCGAAGTTCTTCATCTTTTTGAACATCTCTAAAGCTTCTTTGCCTTTCACATGAAAGACAAGACACGAGATCATCGAGTTCCAACAAGCTACACTTCTAAGACTTAAGGACTCAAACACGGATGTGGCATTCTCTAGATCCCCACATTTATCATACATGTTGATTAATGCATTTGAAACAAACTGATTAAGCTCAATTCCTTTACAGTTAATCAGAGAGTGAACTTCTCTGCCAACATCAAGACGACCTGATTGAGCAAAAGCAGACAAAACACTTGAAACCATTACTGCATCCGGCTCAAATTCCTCTCTTTGCATCTCATGGAAAGCATCAATAGCACCATCAAAGTAGCCATTTTGTGCATAACCAGCTATCAAAGTGTTCCATATCACCAAATCACGAACATTTATGGTAAAAAATAGTTGTAGCCTCATGCACATCACCTATTCTAAAAGAACTACACATCATCATTCATCAATGACCATACAAAGGACTTCTTCATCGGTATATCCTCAAAAAACTTCCTAGCAACTTCCATTTCTCGATTACTAACATACGATCCAAGCATCACCGCCCAAGCTTTCACATTCTTCAACTCTAGAGGCATTCTCTCAAACAATTCTCTTGCTTTCTCGGTCTCGTTTTGCTTCCCGTACCCTTTCAGCATCTCGATCCAAGTCACCATATTTCTACTACATGAAATTTGTTCAAACAATCCAGTAGCCGACTTTGCATCACCATTGCCCATATACCCACCGATCATAGCGTTCCAAGTAGCTAAATTTCTCTCACGAATTTCATCAAACACCTTACATGCAGAAACCACGCATCCCTATTTCTCGATCAGAGAGCTTCCCACGATAACATCAGAACAAATACCGAACTTGATCGATTCACAAGCAACAGGTTTCCAAGAACAATACATGGAACGCAAGCACATGCCTTCAAAAGCAAAGGAACCCATCCCGGAAAAAAACACTCCTCTGCGTCGGATTTCTTGGTACAAAACCAGAGCTTGTCTTGGTGATCCTCCAGAAATATGATTCTTTATGAGATTCGACACATGAAACTCACCTAACAGCTAGTAAATGGTACTCCAAATTCATGATAACAAAAAAATTCTTCGATATTGGCTACTGCATAGAGATAGATTGTACACGGCTAACAAGATATTTGACATTTCCATTCCAAGAATGATAATTTCAATCACAATCATAGCCACTTGTACACTTTCAAGGAAATGAGAGTTTGCTTCGTTGATCAAATTACAAAGGTTCTCTCGGGTTCAAAATTTATGTTTCTTAATATTTTTTATTTGAGTGAGGCTACAAAAAGGCAACTCTTGTCAGTGTCCTAAAGACAAAAACCCTAAAAGATGAGAACGAGTTGCCCTAAATGCATGGAATTAAACAGAGACCAGAAATGTGTTTACCGCTCCTACGTTAACAAGAGTTTAAGTCAAGTAACGATTTGGTAGGGCAGAGAAAAATCCTACTGTCTCCCACTTATTCTGCGGTGCCTCGAACTGGTTTTGTAGTTGTTGTAAATGGATCCAAATCATCAGATGAGAAGAACTTCATTCTTTATAACTCATTCAAATCCACACTGACTCTCAAACCCGAGTTTACCAAAGCATTGATCATTGCAGGGATGTCAGATATCAATGAAGCTGCTACATGCTGATAAGTTTTAGAGTTAACATAGTTGCAAATTGCAAAATCAAATCTAACAGAGACCGATGAGAAGAAAAAAAAAAGCTATCTTTTTTTCAAGCGATCATGGAGAAAAGCTCGCTTCCTAGAGTAAATTTAGTGGAACAAAATAGGAGTGATAATGCCCACGAGAATGTAGAAATAACTATTTTATATTCGCACATGAAAAAGCACCGGAAAGAGTGTGTTGAGAGTGTAAGTATCAGATCTCAGTTTATCAACATTCCATAACGACTATGTGTCTCCTGATAAAGGATGAGTACAATAACACAGTAAGAAAGTGGTATTCTATAAAACAAGAAATTGACAAGTACAACATAGGAAACCAACATTAATTAAACGTACATCTTTTGGCAGCAAATTCCATCCATACATCAAATGTGGTCTTCCTTAACTTGAATCCAACTTTGAGGAATTTATTTGAGTACTTAGCTAATAGATCCTAGTTATATGTATCATGATAGATCATGCAAACATTCAGTTGAAGTTCATTTCTTGATAATAAAGCTGATCAATATATAACGAGCCATGTAAATCAGAGTAAGTATATTTTAACTACTTTCAAAGATCCCCGTTTAAAATGAGCAACAAAACAATCTACATATCTGAAAATTAAATCCGCTGTCCCAGGTAGGGTATTCGTATTCACAAGTTTCATAACTTCATCCATGAGTTTGGCGTTCTTGTGCTCTAACGTATATGACTACATGAAACCAGCAAACATCCTAAATATATGTGCGCCACAGAAGCAACCAACCAGCTTATAGACTTGCAAATACCATTAAATGGTATATGAACAGCAAGGAAAGTCTTAATAAAAAGTGAACCGATTCTAAAATATTTGGAATTAAAGTTGTCATGAATACGGAGATTGGAGGACAATCTCTACAATCCAAAACTACATGAAAAAATTATCAATCGAAAACATAATCTCAAACTCAATAGTGAGAGTTGTCTAACAGCACAAAAAACACATATTGGAGAAATAAAATACTCACATATCTGCGGAGATTCTGCAGAACGTCAAATAGAAAACTAATGTCATCCTCGTTTGACAATTCTCAATCAATGACCACAACCAAGCATTAGGATGCATCGATCTCTTGACGTTTACAGAATCAAGTATTTTACTATGTAATTTCTTGATAGCCTCTGCATGTAGATAATTTAATCAACAAATATTTTCATGAACTCAAGAGCTGGAGAACGGGAACAAAATATTAAATGGGACCCGGAGAACCGAATGGATACACAAAAATACCTGAAATACAAGTATATACTCAAAACTATAAGTTTTATTTTTGGATTTTTCGGATACCCAACTATAC